ATATATATATATATATATAATTTTTTCTTTTTAAGAATATAGTGTCTATTTTAAGAATGTACCAAGCAGAATTCGATTGGAAGTTATGTATTATATTGAATGCTATAATCTTAAAGCTATACATTGAAGCTTAAATAAGAGCTTGAATGGGTAAAATTAAAGGATATAAAGGTGTCATACTCTAATTGGTAACTACAGGGAAAAATTTGCTTAATAAGAAAAGATAATGTGAAATTGTAACAGGATAGACAAAAGTATAAATATAATGATTTGAACTGAGATAATTAAAACACAGTTGAGAAAATTAGAAGAGGGGAAAAACTATGTAGAAAATATAAAATGGTAATAAGATATGGAATAGAATATAAAAATGAGCATGAAATTGAGTTTTGTGTCTGTATGAAGAAGTGATAACCTGGGACCATGTTATTTTCAAAAAAGATGTGTTATTTGTATTTTGTTTTTGTGAAAACCCAAATAAAATTTTCCAAAAAAAAAAAAGAATGCTCCATTTATTCAAGCTTGGTCTTATTTTCCTGGGTTACGGGTGCATCCTCCAAAACAAAGCATGGGGCTGTAACTGTGTGTGCAAAAATGCCTAACAAAAGTGAGAAATGTTCATGAGCATACAGAAGATGCCTGTGCTTTGCTTTGCAGAATGCCCACATCCTGTTCATTTACGTAAGATGGCAAGATATCCATGGAAACACTGATGTTTATAGCCATTGTGTTGTCTACCCAGCAGTAAAGAGGTCCTGAGTTTACAGCAGAAAGAAGCCTTAGAAATACAAAAGGATACAGCAAAACATTACTTGGATCTACCAATAAATAAAAAATAATGCTTAAGCTACAGACAGGAGTGGCACTTTCTTGTTAGTCCTTCTTTCTTAATTCTGAATACAGAGAATAGATACAAATACACTGTATTCTTCCATTGTGATATATAAAGAAAATTCACCATGTTGTGAATCTGTAAAATATAGTGACCATTTAGTGGCCGTTACTGTTTATTGCATCTCAGGAAATGATAAGCGTATTGTAGGTAACAATATATTACTACTGTGTTGATTAGCATTATCTTTAGTAAGAAGGTAAGAGGTTACCTTCCAGATTTTCAAGATGATAATTGTAGCTTGTTTTATCCCCATTGACAATGATGATTGGACTGAAGTCTACTTTTGATTTTCTTTTTTTTTAAAAAAAAACAACAAGTTTTATTAAAAATTTCAACAACAAACAAATCATTACATATTTAAATCTTTTCCTGTCTTTCTACAAAAATTTCCCCAATATTCTCATAAAACACAAACAAACACAAACAAACATAAAAAAATCTTTTAGTAAAGTACCTTGGCCCCAGTTACCTCTCTTTGCATGGGCAGCGCATATCAATCTTCACAATTCTATCTTATTTAATCCATCTTAATTAAATCATTAAATTTATATCTTTTGCCCATTCATTATCCCTCTATCTCTTCTTATAATAAAAAGAATTTCTCCTGAAATCACTAATCAGAGTATGATGCCTTTCTATCCTCCCCCTGTTAGTAAAATTAATATTCAACATAACAAATACCCAATTCGGTTCTCCTTGGTACATTCTATCCACCAAAAATGTTTAAATACATTGTATCCTCCTTTCCTTCAATATTTTATTACATTTTAAAAATCAATCATTATTAAAAACTTCAACATTTTAATTTCTTATTAAATCTTAAACCATTCTAATTTACTATTTCAAATATAAATGTTACAATACCATCTTCTGTACTTAGCAGAATCTTTCTTACAGAAGTTTATATTTCATCCTTTGTCCCTAAAAAAAATTCCTCTTCTCCCATCCAATTTTAAAACTTTGAGGCTTTTCTCCGCCTTTCCCCTTTCTTTCTTCCCCCACCAAATCTTCCTACCCCCCCTTCTTCTTCTAACCTCTGCCTTGCTGGGATTCCTTCTCTGTTGTGTTCCCTTTTTCTCTTGTTTGCTATCATTATATTTACTTTGCATCATATTTTTCTCTTTCTCAAATATTTTTTTAGATCTTAAGTCCTTCATTTTTCTTGCTCTCTTCCTTCCTTCTTCCTTAGATAAGTTTTGGGATTCAATAAAGATGGCGTCTTCGTCTTTTCCTTGTTGTTGTTCTTCTGGAACAACTTCTGTTTCCATCTGTTCCATTGTCTGTTGGTAATTGACCAGCGCCATTTCTAGAAATAGAAAAGCTTTTTCCATACCATCTTTGCAGGCTGCTTTTGTTTGCTCATATTCATCCCTCAAGTCTTCAAAAGCCATTATAAATAAATCTTTTCTTTTCTTTATTCCTCTTTCTTCTTACACCAACCAAATATTCCGAGAGAAAGGTAAAACAATCCCAAAATCCACAATCCTCAATAAATCCAAGCAAGCCAAAATTCCCCCTTCCTCTTCCAGGGGTGGTATCAAACAAATAAAAAAAAAGTCCAAATCAATATTTTAAAGCCTTATTAAAATTATATTTCTGTCCTCAAATCTTCAAGGCATCTCCTCCAACAAGATCCAAATTTATATATTTTCTTTATCCTCTCCCTTCCGGCTTAATTCCGTCGGGAGGGAGAGTAAACTTTCCTTTCAGCACCTCAAAATAGCCGCTTTTTTTCTCTTGTGGAAAAAATCATCAAAAAACCATCTTTTCCAGGAATTAAATTAGATAAATCTCAAAACCCTGGGTCGACCAAGAAGAACTTTCACTTTCAATAACTTTCTCTTCTTCCTCCTGCGCATACTTGCCCGGCTGCCGACTTCTTTGTGGCGGCCATTACGGACCGCCGCTGCACCGTCCTGGTAAAAGGGGGTTCTGCCGGCCAGGGAGGGGGTCTGCAACACCCCCAGACCCTTCCTCCGGATCCCCCTTACCTTCAGCTACCCCTGCAGGGCAGCCTTGCTCCGCACCCGTCCGGGTCAGAGCCCCAAAACGGCTAGCGCGGCAGGGATCGCGCAGCTTCGCGAATCCCTACCGCTCGCGAAGCCGACAAACCGGAAACCCAAGTCTACTTTTGATTTTCAAGGACCAAGTGAAGCTTTAAAGTAATGTCACTCTAGGCCTAGTCTAAAGTCTAGTCTAAGTATTAGATTGCATTGGCTCAGAAGCCTCTTCCATTCCACTATCTGTCCACAAGGATCCATTGGAACTTTTGCGATCTCTACAGATAGGCTAAAAAAACAATGGGTCACAATTTAATCTTACGAGATATTCTTCCTCTGACACCAGCATTTCTCTTTTTTAATCTTCCATAGCTTGGGGCAAACAAGGCTCCTCCTCTGTTTTTTGCTACCACAGACTAGTACTTCTTGGAATAGCATAAATCATATTGCACTTGCTCCATTTAAAATGTCTACTTCCTGACAAACCCCATAGAAATGAATATAATTTAGCTTGAAACAAGGTAAGTAAATGTGCATGAAGGGCTGTGGTGAGCCATATCCATATCCTATGAGAGCTGGCTCTTGAATGGTAATATCTAATGGAGGCAAAGTATTTTTACATAACCGTTTATGTTTAATGCCTCTTTGCTGGGAGCAGAAATATTCTCTTTAGGAATCCTTATTAATATAATTAGGTATTCCACACGATACATACAATGTTCGCTAATTTATATTCTTTAAAATCTAATGTAGAATCGTTGTTTCATTTTGGGCAGAGCTAACACATCTATGTTTAAACTCACGTTTTTATCTGGCTATTTCAATTTCTACGAATTGAGTCTTCTTCCCCTGTTTGTGTTTGTAGACATTGTGACATGCTTAGCCATGGATTTCTGTGGGATCCATTTAATTTCAGGCTCAAGGGACACCACTTGTATGGTGTGGCAAATAGTTCAGCAGGTGAGTTGGCTTTTGTGGAACTCTGCAAGCCGTTTGTGCTGTGGGATGCCATGTTTTCTGATTGCATTAATTTACAGATGGGACAGAAAGATCAGAAAGTCAGGTATAGTATATTCGTTCAAATGTTATAAAATATAAAAGGGTTACTTGAGTCTAACACAGTTGGGAATTTGTAGAGGGCTTATAGAACCATGAGGGATACATTGTGGCATATCTGATAAAAGAAGTACTTGTGCATGAAAACTTACATGAACATGAAAATCACTGGGGTGAGGTGAGGTAAGATGGGAGCCCAGTGATGGCATTTGCATTGCTAATGAATGGGAGAGGATTTGTTTTGGGCTGCTGTTTTTGTTTGGTTTCATTATGACTTTGTGCTGCTCAGAATTGTGATGGGTAGCCATGCAAGTCTTTTTAAATAAATCAATAAAAATAAATTTATAAAAAGGTTGTTCTTGTACTGATTGTTCTTGTAACTCCTTTAAAAATAATACTGTGCATTTAAAAGGCCCAGTTTTTTGTTCACTGTTTAGTCAGTGCTTTAAATGTAAGTGCAAAATAGAACTCTTGCTATATAGGTTAGTTCTGAGGCACAAGTGAAGAAATAATTCCTTTTTATTCTTTTATACATCCTGAGATTAAGTTTTCTTTTTGGATTTTTTGAGCTAAAGTGTTGCTTGTGACTCTGAAGAATAAATTGAATTGATATGTTTTCCTCCTGTTTTATCTGTTTTGTTTACTTATTTTGGTAGCAGTTTCAGAAGATCCAGTTTTGTTTTCATCATGGCCAATAAAATGGCAGCTCAGCACCTGCTAGCTGCCATTTTATTAGCAACTATGAGCTGCATTTTATTTTACCTTGGATGAAATAAATCTGCCTTTATACCGTTACCTTACCTTTATTAGCTGCATTTTATTTTACCTTTGGTGACTTTCTAAACTTACAGCTATCATAATAAACTAGAGCCCAGTTTGAAGCAATGTTAAGTGGGTCTAAATAGTAGGCTAATGACAATCATGATGGTAGTGAGCAGGAAGAGGTAGCTAAGCCTTTCCTTCCTTGGCTGCAGAAGTTCTTTAGTCTCTGCCTTCATCTATAATAAGAATGTTTAATATATTAAGAAGCATTATGCTTCATTAAAGTAGAAAGTTTAGGACAAAATGATGTCAGGTTTGGGGCAGATATGCTGCTTTGAAAATATCTTGTCTTTTAATATAACTGCTTGTTTCCAATATTTAACTGCAGGGAGGAGTACCAATAGGATTGGCTCCTAAACCTTTGCAGATTCTCTATGGACATACCAATGAAGTGTCTTCAGTTGGCATCAGTACAGAACTGGACATGGCAGTGTCAGGTGCCAGGGTATGCTTGCTTGTTTGTTTCCTAAGTCTTCATTCAAAATAAGGAAAATTGCTTCCCTGGCTTAAAGTACCTAATCAGTCTCAAGTGAACCTTGAATATGCAATTCATTCTTACCAGGCCGTTTACATTTCTAAGTTGTTCCCTTGTGGTAAATGAGCTATGCCCACTTCTTTGGAAGTATTTCCCTTTTTGCACATCTGCTTCCAGGCAAATACATGCATGATAACTTACTGGCAAACATTCAACATAGGACCATTTTGGAGTTTGGTTTTAAAAAAGGTCTTCTATTTTGAAATGTATTTCCAAAAACATTCTTCCTTCCTCTCTTCTGCAGAGAATGGAATGCATTCAACAAAATATATAGAATATTACAATGTGCATGCATAATGAACGGTTGAGGCTGAGAGGAACTGCATTATTTAAAAGTCATTAATATAAAGTGCTGTTATAAATAATTGCTGTTAAAAGTCTTATTTGCCTCATAAAACATTGCTTAGATAGGATAATAGGAACTGCAGTGGAGCAGTGAATGCAGGCTACTTCTGCTGACTGCTGGCTGACTGCAATTTGGCAGTTGGAATTTCACCAGGCTCAGGGTTGATTCTGTCTTCCATCCTTCCTTGGTGGGTAAAATGAGGACCCAGGTTGTTGGGGGCAATATGCTGACCCTGTAAACTGCTTAGAGAGGGCTGTAAAAACACTGGGAAGCAATATACAAGCCTAAGTGCTATTGCTAGAATCCATTGAAAAATCTCTGCCTGGATGGATCTTTTCTGTGTGCCATTCTGGGCATGCTGACTATTGTATTAAAAGCACAGAGGCTAGTGTTACTACACTATGAATTGGTTCTCACATTCTTCCAGTTTTGAGATATCTCTGTTTGGTTTTAATAGGATGGAACTGTGATTGTCCACACAATTCAGAAGGGGCAACATATGAGGACTCTAAGGCCACCCTGTGAGAGTTCTCTCCAGATCATTGTTCCTAATCTGGCTGTATCTTGGGAAGGACACTTAGTTGTTCATACCAGCATAGAAGGAAAAACATCTCTCAAGGTATGAAGACAGCAGAATGCACAGGGGCTGCATTGTTTTTTTTCTAGAGGTGGAGGTAAATTAACTGCGTGATTGCAATAGTAATGGGAGTTTCTTATTGTCATTCAGCATTCTCAAGGCTAGTCCTTCCCTCCATCACACCATGGAATGGTGCATATAAATGTATGTCTAGATACATACAAATATATACCTGTAATCTGGGGCTCATAATAGGTGTATATTTATGTTTACATAAACCATATATTCATGTTTTATTGTCCAGAAAAATAGGCAAAGAGAGATATGGGAAAGCCCTTTCAATGTGTGAATTCAGTTACATAGATGTGGCTTAATCAAAATGCAGCAACTTTTGCCTGTACATGAATTAGTATGGACAAAGTATTGGAATTAATTCTTGACTGTGTCTCCTACCTCTATAGTGTAAGGTTGCGCAATTTATTTGGGAGGGAAAGGCTTTGCAACACACAGAAATGACAAAAGTAACTTTGGTCTGAGATTTACTGAAGCAGACAAAGCTGTATCCAGGATGATGATGCTGGAGGGAAGCTTCTATAGCTCTTTTTCCCAAGCAAATCCCAGACATTTCACTGTCTCAGTCTAAGAATTTAGTATCTGTCAGATCTGTGTATCTGCCATTCTTCAATGGAAGAAGGGAGGGGGGAAGTTGGTACAAGTAAACCTTTTTGATGTAACCTGAATATATTAAATCCTATATTGATCCTGTATAACTTGCATATGATATACAACTGGAAGAGTGGAGCCAGATGTCCAGGATCTTGGCACCTCTTGAAGAGATAACAAGATGAGAAGGGACCATAAAAATTCCAACTCTGGAAGACTCTCCTGGGAACTCTGTTAAGATACATTCCAGAGAAGGGGAGGGGGGAATTAACATGTTGGTTCTTTGTTTAACTAAATCCACATCTGAATAAGGGGAGGGATTTTAACTTCCTTTATCTATGACTGTATGTCTGGGGATATTTTAGACTCTGTTTTGCCTAGTGTTAAGATAAAATCCCTTTCAATAAAGGATTCCTTTTGAACCACTTGGTTTTCAGGAGTTCATTCTTTTCGATTAAAGGGAAAAAGTCCAATGCTTACAGAATCCCTATTAGCCTAAACCTGACAAACTTGACAGCTTTAAGACTTGTGGACTTCAACTCCCAGAATTCCTCCTGCAGTCATGTTAGCTCAGGAATAGAATAGAATAGAATAGAATAGAATAGAATAGAATAGAATAGA